CTTATTTAAGGGTCCTGTACACCACCGGAGGTGCAAACCCAACAAACAATTGTAGCTGCAGACTAGCTTATACAGGCAAAAATTAGCTGTATAAGCCAATTTTCGGCTGTATAAGCTAATCTGCAGCTAAAATTGTTAGCTGGGAAGGGTCAACGCGAAAGACTTCCATCCTAGGTGGCTGCTCGCTTTTGTCTTGACTTGCTTTATTTCTTTGTTGAGGCTCCGCTGCCATGAGCCCCTGGGTCTGCCTCTGCTGCGATGTCCTGCCGGATTCCAATCCAGCGCTTGCTTTCAGATTTCGTTTCCACCTTGTCGAAGTGTGTGGACGACCCACCTCCACTTTCGCTATCAAATTTCTGTTGCTATCGGCTTCAGATGACATCGAGGATGGAGCTCGGCATTCGAGATCCAGTTGTGAGGCCACCAGGTTCTAATTATATACCGCAGGCATCGGTTGATGAAGACCTGCAGCTTCTGAGAGTTCTCGGTTGATACACACCACGTCTCGGTGGCGTATAACAACACAGATTTCACGTTCGAGTTGAAAATTCGGACTTATCTGGTTTGATCTCCATACGTTTCGTAAACTCGCAAAGGCAGCCCTAGCCTTCTTGATTCGTGCATCTATGTCGCTCTTGGTCTCGCCGTCCAACGCTATTTGGTTGCCAAGATATTGGAAACTTTCGACCTTCTCCACTGTTTGCCCCGCTACCGTAAAGTTGGAAGGGTTGCCCGTGTTGACATCCAACGATTTGGTCTTGTTGACGTTGATGGTGAGACCCGCCGCAGAGCAGCGTTCGCCTAGGTCATTGAGCTTACTCTATATATCAAAGCGCCGTTGTGCTAGTAGAGCAACATCATCAGCTGATAGGCTGCCAAAGAAGCCCACGGTTCGGTACATGGTCAATTGCACCCACCACGATCTCGTCGATTACGATGAGGAACAGTAGCGATGACAGTATACATCCTTGTCTCACACCAGCGACTTCCCGGACAGACAAGGCTCCGTTATGCAGAACTTTGCACGTGGAAGCCTGATACTGCGCTTCGATGAGGTTGACAATTTTCGGGTGTGGCGGCGTGGCGCGGCGGCGCACAGGTCTAGCGTAGCGGTACCGGAAAGGGAGATTGCCGTCTTCAACACAGCTGACATCGGCTGGTGTCGAGGGAAGGAGACTGGAGATGGTGATTTAGTATGTACACCGCAGCGAGTATTTGCATTGCCTTGTCGGTGGCGATGCAGGTCAGCTCCAGACAGATAAAATGAGGGGTTCGTGGATTTTCCTATGTTTCTAGGGGTGCATCGATTAGCTTGGGACCGAAGAGAGTACCAGAGCTGAACCAAAAAGTTGGGCACGTTTCTTCGGGACCTTTTGGTCTTAGAGTTACCTATATGGTTGTTCGAACCCCTCATTTTATCTGTCATACTTTCATAGTGAATCAAAACATACATAGTGTAGTACTCGTATTTTGACTAGGAATGGGGTACGCTTATAGATGTACTTGGGACCAATATAGTAGGCTAGTGAAGTAGTGAGCCAATTTAAAATCGTTAGTTTCCACCTATTGGTCCATCGATTAGGATTTTTTTTGAATCTAGTACCCCAGAAAAAATGAAGTGATATGGAAGAACAGTTTACTCTGCCTTATTATCGTGCAGTTTAGATTTGGTTAGAGAAAAACATGCATGGAGGCTTCAAAAATGTGCTCCCGGACAGTATGTGATTGACAAATTTTTGAAGAATATTCCAAATATATTTTACAACAAGGCATGTTTTTAAAATTTTATTTTTTTTAAACAAATATTAGGGATCCTAGAGTCAGTTCGTTAGTAATATGTTTAACGGGAATTATTACATTTGCTCTATTTTTTTGTGTTGGGACGGAACATCTATTTTTTTTTATTTTGGGGTTACTTTGATTAGACTCGATGAAAAGTACAAACCATGCGTGAATTTCAAACAATTTTGATCAAGAACTAAGAAACTATGAAAGAGTATATAAAGTCTGAAACGCGCAAAAATTGGTCAACTTCAAATTTTTTTTTTTTTTTCCTTCGGTTTGTTTTTTCCGTTGATCTTGTTTTCCGTGCTGAGCACCAATGCTACCGACGTGCCAGGAAGGCAGCTCCCACACCTGGACCCTACCTATCGACCCATCAACTCATGAACCGGGGACCAACGGCTTTACTTTCCATCCGAAGGAAGGCGCGATCAGAGATGTTATGCCTCAGAACATCCCGGCGGCGCCGACTGGGATTGAACCCAGGCCTGCTGGGGTGAGAGGTAATCACGCTTATCACTACACCACCGGCGCCGTTCTTCAAATTTGTGTATTTCTGTTAAAAATGCATAAAAAACCTGAAATACTGCATTTGGAGATTGAGTGTGTATACAATGGTTGCTATGATGAGTTTTCACCGTTTGCTCTCCAGTTTTCAAAATGACGTGTCAAAATTTTGCTCGCGCCGCAAGAGAATCTGACGTTCTCACACGAAAGTTATGTAAAGGCGGATTTCAAGCAGCTTCCGGGACAGGAGTTTTATACCGCATCAGGAAAAGAGAAGGTGAAATTTTCAAAAAACATCAAACTATCGAAGTTCCCGAAAAAATATCTCGTCTGGCAGGCCATATGCACGTGTGGTCTAAAAAGCGGCATTTTCATTACTATGGGAACCATCATTCAAGAGATCTACGTCCAGGCGTGCCTGGAAAAGCAGCTGCTACCATTCCTAAAGCAACATAATAGACCTGTGCTGTTCTGGCCGGACTTGGTGAGCTGCCACTATGGGAAAAAGGCAATCAAGGTTGCTTCCACTCACTTGCTATAAAAAAATGATTTTCGGAAATATGCAATCATTAGTTGTAATAATGATATGTTGCACTTGTAATTACAAGAATAGGTTGAAAAGTATGTATTTGACTCATAAAACTTGCCAATTCCGCTTTCAGACCGCTACAATAATCGATTTTATGATTCGTGAGCGTTCACTCAGAGTGAGCGCTCACGAATCGTAAAATCGCTTATAGTGACGCTCTTAAAGCAATATTGGCATATTTTATGTGTCAAGCACATACTTTACAACCTCTTCTTGTAACATACAAGTACTAATTATAATTATAACATCGTAATATTTCAAGATTCCGAACAACATTTTTTATAGCAAGTGAGTGAAAGTAACCCTGGAGGCAATCGAGTGGTACGATGCGAACAACGTGGTTGTGGTACCCAAAGACCACAACCCTCCCAAAAGCCCAGAACTCAACCCTATCGAACGGTATTGGGCCTTTGTCAAACGGAATCTAAAAAAAACTAATAAATTCATGGGAAACGAGCAGCAATTTAAATCTTACTGGCGTTCGGCGGCGAATAAGGTCGATGAGATTACTGTGCAAAATTTAATGGAAGGGGTTAAGCGGAAGGCACGGCAGTTCGGATTTGGCAAACCAAAAGAATTAACCGAACATTTTTTCCTATAAATATATGAATTGAACGACAAAAAAAAAATAAGAAGATTTTTATGATATGAATTTTGACTGAAAGAAACGATTTTTTTTGTCGACCAATTTTTGCGCGTTCCAGTCTTTAATCAGAAACATTATAAGCAATAAGAAAACAATGTTAAATTTGTGATGACTTTGTAGGAAATACATTTAATAAGTGATTGTTTGAGTGCCTTTTCAATCAGGTTAAAATCAATAAAATTTATGTTTTCAGGTATTTGGAAAATATGTAAAACATACTACATAAAAAATCTATACGAGATCAAAGGTAATACCCTAAGCTACAAAATTAAACCAGTGTTTTTAATTCGGAAATAGTGAGGAGTTTAAATTTAATCACTATATTCTACTATCAAAGTAACTCGCATTATCAAAGATACCCCGTTTTACGGTAGTCAGAATGTCCACGATCACGTTTTTTTTCGGTTTTAGACCACTGTACACTTGTCTGTGGGAAGCGGCCCTAATGTGTATAAGGATGGAGAAAAAATAATATCTTAATTATTGGCATTTCTTATGTGGTACGTATTTGGTTCACTATTTTGCTTTGCATGAGCACAGCAAAGTCTGACGAAAAATCTCCCATTCATATAATGACTTTGAAGTTTGCATAATTACTTGCCTTCCGTATATATCGATTTTTTTTGCAAATCTTCTCATCCTATAAAAAATACTTAACCTCAAATCTGAAGGTAGAGCTGATATTGAATTCCAAACGATGAACTACATTAACCCTTTCATTTATGTACCGTCCACCCACCGCTGTTTCTCGGTTGCCCTTCAATCAATTACGTTTATTTTTTTTGTATGTGATTAGTGTTAACTAGTTATCTACAGAAAATCAGCTCAATTGGGTGAAGGACAGCCGATAAACAGCGATGGGTGGACAATATCACCCTTGTGGAGGGATTACTGTACATTTTTTGCACCCATTTCCTTTGAATTTCTAGTCACATCCATGTTATATATATTTTGCACAAGCAAGAGGAGAAAATAGGTTGTGTTGCGACGAATGCAAATTATCTAGTTGCCCCTATTGTTTTATTTTCAAAACTACAAATATTGTAATTGAACGGAAATAGCCTTTCTGCAACTGTCAAGCGGATGAGTAAAAATGATTAAAAAAAAAAAAAATCTATTTTTGTCACAAACTAACTGTATATATTATTCCTCGGCAAGCAGACTCCGTGCTGTCGTGTTTCCGAATGGCCATCGATTGGTCACCCAAATGAAAAGATGCATTTGGCTGTTTGGGTAATGATTAGCATAAGAAAAAGAACAGTTCAGATTTTATGATAACACCTCCGGCAAACGGCTGATACGTTGTTGTATTTGTCGTCGTCTGTTGGAAGTCGGTTCACGATAGAACGGATTCCAAAGTGCCCCATCCGCCCATATAACCAACTGATTTGGCTAGATCTGGCCCAGTCGAACGTGAAAACTCCATCCGAGAGGTGTATTTGTTGTGATTGTTTAATCTTGGTTGATCTACCGCGGTGCAGTGACCATGTGGGGAAATGTTATAGTTGTTTTAATTTTTGTGATACTATTTTGTTTGCGGGATATGCGGAAGCCAATATTTTTTCCACCAGGTAATTCCTATGTGAAAATATTTTCTGCACAATGTGGAAAACTGTTTACTGCGGAAGTAGTGTGATTTTAGCAGGGATTTCGCATTTTTGTTTGTTTTCGGTACCTATGCTTGGTCGGTTTGGACCACAGTTTAGGTCTCCATCTGTTAGGTAACATGTTACCTTAATTTCAATTTATTTTTATGATCTTGTAGTTTCAAATTCAGTTGAAAGATATTACAATTTCTACACTGCTTAATGCTTTATGGGTCGTGATTTATTGTTAGGTGCAGTTAGATTTCCACAGTTAAGTTAAATTATTAGAAGCAATTAGAGGAAGTCAAATTTGGATAGTACTTTAGATAGCGCAATTACTCGGGTATACCTTAAAGTGACGCAAAATTAGAAATTTCGCTCCACAAATGGTTCCAAATCGAGTTCTAATCATCCTCCCAAAAGGAGGAAGGCCCTGGTGCACCAGGAGGGGTACCAAATCGTGGCATAAAGTAATTGCTCCTCAGGGTTGCATTATGGAAACTTTGTTTATTCAGCAAAGTGGACCCTTATGCCTTCATTTGGTGCTATAATTATAGATCAAAATTCTGCCGCTAGGGCAGCATTAATGCTAATAATGCATTATGGAAGGATGGTGCCTTCGGAAATACTTTCATATTTGTAGGTTTATCGTTTACCTTTGTGCTATATTATTTCAACCAGGGTTGCTTCCACTCGCCTGCTATAAAGAAATGTTTTTGGAATTATAAAATGATGAGATGGTATAGTGATAATTAGTACTTGTAAGTTACAAGAAGAGGACGTGAAGTATGTGTTTGACACATAAGATCTGTCAATATTGCTTTAAATGCGTCACAATCAGCGATTTTACTCTGAGTGAACGTTCACGAATCATAAGATCGCTTATTGTGACGCTCAGCAAGCGTGACAGGTTTTATGAGTCAAACACATATTTTACACCATCTTCTCGTTACTTACAAGTACAACATATCATTATATCATCTAAGGATTGCTCTTATCGACTTAGAAAAATAGTAGTTATTTTCAACGTTACAATTTGTTACTCCAAGTGGGATATAATGCGCCCTGAGATTTGTAGTGTGGATAGCATAACCATCAGGCGCGAATCGTTAATATTCAATATTGAAAGAACTGAGATAAAGCCTAAATGTTTGCTTCTGTGACATTAATCAGTATACACATAAAAATAAATATAAAAATAATAAAAAATGATTTTTGGAATTTTGGAAACATTAAATGTTTATATATATTTTGCCCTTGTTTTGTTAGATACAAGAAGAGGATGAAACCGGTCATTTAAAAAATATTTGTCAATCATCAAGATAATCTTCAAGAAGGGTCCACAACAAGTTGATAATAAGAAACAAATTTAAACAAAATGGCGTACATTGTAAAATCACTTAATTTAACATTAAAGGGTGTCCACAGTTAAATTGCATCACTTAGAAGTACTCGCAAAAAAGTCTCTCAACCGATTGCCATGATATTTTCTGGGAATGTAATACTATATAAGCTTGGTTTACGTATCTTTATTTCACTCTATTTCTTCACCAAATCCAAATGCCCGAACTTTCTTCTTAATGCCACCCATAAAGTTTTGTACAACGGTTGAATCGACATTTTTTCTGCTTTCCATGATTTCAACATTTCATGCTCCGTAGTGACAAATTTAAGATGCTTACGGAGTTCATGATTCTTTGAAGTCCAGTATATCTTTCGATCGGCCGCAACTCCGGTGTGTTTGGGGGATTGAGATCCATCGGCACGAAATTGATCCCATTCGTTTTGTACCACTCCAGAACGTCCTTGAAATTGTGACAAGTGGCTAAATACGACAAAGAAAATGTAGGAACGTAGTGTGATTTAAGAAACGGAAGCAGTCGTTTCTTCAGGCACTCATTCATGTAGACTTGGCCATTTACGGTTCCAGTTGTTACGAAAGGCTTGCTTCGTTTTCCGCACGAACAAATTACTTGCCAAATCATGAATTTCTTGGGGAACTTTGACACTTGCTGTTTCCTGAGCAACTCTGAAGCATCGAACTTGTCTTTCTCAGTCACATACTGGTTTCTCGGAATTTGTTTGAAGACTGCTTTCACGTATGTTTCATCGTCCATGATACAGCAGTGTGGTTTTGTTATATTCTGTCGTTCATTGCAGTTTGGTGCTTTCTGAACCTTGAATGGACGTAGTCCTGTTCGTTTCTTGGCTTTCTGCACGAAACTTGCTCGGTGCGAAAGATGTGGGTTGTTGAGGTGAGTTTGCAAAATTTTCTCGCGCAAGCGCTGTTCCTTCGACTCCATTTTCAAAACTACTAGCAATTTCACAATGAAACTCACGCAGTGTAAATAATACACGCTGAAGTGATCTCAACCGAAATTTAATTAAAATTTACCCAAAGTGCATAATGTTACAGCTTTTTGAACGTGATGCAATTTAACTGTGGACACCCTTTAAAATAAGGTTGTGCAAAACTTAATGGGATGGGCCATCTATACAGTCCGTGAATTTGTGTTTGGCAAATCATAGAATGATATCACCAATGTGCTTCATGTGAGATTAAGCTGCCAGAATAACATGTAACAGATGATTAATTTATTAACATTACTTATCTTCACTTAATTTTGTGCGACTAATATTTGCTCGTTCCACCCTTTAACCCGAAGTTCTCCAAATTTGTTTAATGTTCCGGCAAATTTTCTTATATATATATATATATTCATAATACCCTGACGGTTCGGAAGCTTTCGGATCTGTCATAGAAATTTCGGAACATCTCATAATTTCACGGAACTCCTTGTAAGTCGCTGCAAATTTCTTTAAGTTAATGGGTTTTTTTTTCTGAAGTAATCTAATCGTCCTCAAAGTACTCGGAACTTTTCTGAATATCATAAAACTATCTTAAAATATCTAATATTCTTATGAGTTCTCTGGAATTTCTTGAAGATATCGGTGCTTGCTAAAAGTTCTCGTATTTATTTTTTAAATTAATGGACCATGGTTGATGTTCTCTAACTTTCACAATTTATTGAAGATCTTGAAACTTCCATGATATAAAACCCTTAAAATACTCACATATTTCGGATGCTAAACTTCCCTGAAATCTCGGAACTTCTGTGAAGTCCCCTAAATATTTCTGAAGTTTTCATAAATTTTCTAAAGATCTCTGTACTTCCATGACATTCACGGAACGTCTTAAGGTTTGTTGTTTTTTTTTCAAGCACGTCATGGAACTATCCTGTCTAAACTCAGGTTTATAATTCTTTAAACTGTTCCAAGAGTCTAAAGTTATGGGAACTGCTCTTATGATCTCTAAAATTCCCCAAAAATCTGTAGATCTAGCTTTTTTGAGATACTTAGAACTTCTTAAAAGTTTCCTCAAATTTCCTAAAGTTCTCTCTATTTCTGAAGATCTCTTGACACGGGTGAAGACCTCTGAAATTCTAAGAACATCTTAAAAGTTTCTGCCGATTTTTGGAAGCTAATGGGACCGCTTTGAGGTTCTTACAGCTTCCAGTAAGTTCCCCATATTTTCAGAATGTTAACTTCCCTTATGTTCCCGAAATGAAGCTACACTGACTTTTTCAGTATTTCCTTACATTCCTCAGAACTGTTGTATTTTTAACTCAATGGGAAGATTCACCACCTGAGGACAGCAGTGGTTTATCAGAATTTATTTAGTATGCATTCTCAGAAGGAAAATCTGCTCTTTCTGAGAACAGATCCCTCCCTTTTACTTGTAGTAAATGGTCTGTCATAAATTGACCACTTTACAAAGATAACACAGTAAGGAATATTTTCTACAACTATTATTTCTCTATTAACGAAAAAGGATTTACATTACAGTTACATCATGTTTTTTTTTATTAAATTTTACGTTTATTTTCAGGGTTTTTATGTTTCAACATTTGATTTAACATTTCAATTGGTTAGCCTTTGGCTCTTCATCTTTGTTCTAGTTAATTGGTTATTCTAATGTGATGATTGCGTTTAGCACTAATTTACAGGATACCCTTTGTGGGATTGTTTTGGTTTGAATTTAAAAAATTTGATAACCTACCTACTTGAGCACCGTAGTAGTAGTAGTAGTAGTAAAATTCTTCTTTATTTTTGATTTGTTATGTGGTTCACAATTGCTAATACAGGGCAAGAGGTTAGCCGGAAGGGCTCTTCCTCTTTGGTGAACCTTTTGATTTTGTGTTGCACATGTTGTGTTTTACTGTGTAATGTTTTTCAATTTTCTTTTTGTGAAGCTTAACCTAATTTAACCTAACGTGCCAGACCCCTGACGATCTGTTGGTCGGATCGCCTACAGCAATCTCTGAACCTTGCGATGGAGGCAGCTCTCCGTAACTCTAGTGTCTGAAGACCAGCCAGGCGGTGGACCTCAGAGTTTCTAGTCCGCGGTGGACTGTTGAGGATCATTCTCAGGATCTTGTTCTGGATCCTTTGAAGTTTAAGATGGTGGCTTTTTGCGCAACTCTCTCAGATTGGCATCCCGTATTCTATTACGGGAAGGATGATTTGTTTGTAGACAGCAAGCTTATTTTTCAGGGACAGGGTAGACCTCCTGTTGATGAGTGGATACAACGATCTTATCAAGATATTGCACTTGGTTTTGGTTTTGTCAACGTGCTCCCTGAAAAGAAGCTTGCTGTCTAATGTTAGCCCGAGGTACACGACCTCTTTGAACCATTCCGACACTCAGCCGTTTAAGCAGATCTTATTATTTTCAGACGGAACAAGTCTGGGAGATTTTGAGTGTGGAAAGATGATGACCTGGGTCTTTGCCGCGTTGATACGGATCTTCCAGCTGTTGAAATATTCAGACAGGACGTCCAGGCCTCTCTGAAGTTTGGCAGTCAGAGCACCGATGACCCTTCCCTTGTAGACGATGGATGTGTCATCTGCGAACAGAGACAACGATCCACCATCAGGGAGAGCCGGCATATCGGAGGTGAACAGGTTGAATAGAATGGGGCCAT